TGTTTGCCGACTCCACTGCAATGTAGACCCAAAAAAAGGGAGTCCTTTACCCCAGAGAAGGATAGAGAAGGTTCCCTTCCTAAACATTGGCGGGCGGTGGGTTCCATGTCAATCTGCAGGGAAGCGTTCGAAGGTCCCCACAGTTTTTGTTCCCTTTAAAATAGGCATTTAACATTGGACACAGCAATGAGATCAGATGTCTCCCAGCGCACATGAGATCTTTTGCCCAAGAGCCTGTTTCGGAAGGCCGGCAGCAAAGAGTTGTCTCCAACAAGGCTCATTGACTGATTGTTGCTAGTTGTGTTTAGCGGGAACCACGAAGGTTTTATGTTGTTTATATTCTACCTAGGGGAAGGCGGGGTCACCACAAAGGTTTTGTGCTTTGCCAGGTTCTGGCCCAGCGTGACCGGCTCCTAGCGCGGCGGAAAGAGGCGGAGCCGCTGATCGGGGTGCACAAGCGCGTGGACAACCCGGGCACGGCGCGGATGCAGTTGGAGCAGCGCATGCTCAGCACCCAGGCCTACCTACAGGCGGCGAGGACGCTTGAAGAGAGTTTTGAAACATGTTTTGTGCAGGGTGGGGAAATGGTTTGAGCAGTTATGTTGACAGGGAAACATGGGAAACCAAAAAAGGGAAAGTTAGGGATGCTTTCTAGAGAGGGTTTCTCCATAATGGGTCCCATCCCCTTTGTTTCTCTCCTCGTTTGCCAAAAGAATGCACGAGCTTAGAGCCTCAATGGCTTTCTGGTGGGTGATTCCCATCATGTTTTGCCTACTAAACGTCCCAAACCCCCTGCTGTACACCATTTGTCCTCCTCCTTTCTTAGGTGTGTATGTTCCGGGTAAGCAGTGGCATAGCCAGAGAGGCACTGACCAGTACTTGACTTGCCTCCAACCATCCTTTTCTTCTGAACGGAGTGTGTTGGCTCTTTCTTCTTCAGCGTCCTGACTTGCAGAAACATCCCAAGGAAGCAGATTAGGATGGGACCCCAAAGTGTTTGTTGCTGGAACGTTGCCTTTTCGGGGATCCCTAAATGTTTCAGCCAACAGGTTGCCCATGTAATTTGCTTGTGAGGACACATTGCACCAAAGCTGGGTTTCAGCCAATGGCTGGGCTGTTGAAAATGGAGTATTGTCCAATCCTATAATCCGTGTTGGACAACAACTAACGGCCCCTTTTGAAACCCAAGGTAAGGATCTCAACGAAACCCCATGCCAGTGACCCCAAAGCGAAAAAGGTGGGGAAACACGTAGGTTTAGGAGGAGGGGGCGCCTCCTTCTCCTGTAAAGAAGCATTCAAACACATAATTAGGTTTTGGGTCCACCTTAGCCGGCTTCCTCGGGAAGAACAACGTGATTTATTGCGGGTCTGTTTCCTATAATACATCTTCGAGTTCTTTTCCCTGAAGGTTTTGTGAAGGAAACTTGCGCCAATGGGTGTCTTGACTTTGTGTCCGTTTCCAACGAATCCATTCTAAGAAGGGGCCGATTTCTTGCTGGTGCTCAGTAGGTTCCGTAGAGAATGACCCAGGATTTTCGGAATGAACCTCTAGGAAACCATGTGGGTGATGGTTTTTCTCGGGCTCATTCCGGACCATTCCCTGCTTGCCGAACCGAACCGAACCCGCTTTCTCGATCCCAGGAAGCTGGTGGAGGAGTACTCCGACGGCCGGCCTTTGGTGCTCCTCGCCTCCGACGACGAAGCCGCCGTGGAGACGTTTCGCCAGGCCTTCCAGGAGAATCGGATCCCTCGGGGCGCGAGAGTCGGTCTGGGGTGGGGAGGTCCTTTTGGGCGCGGCTCGTCTTTTTTGGGGGGACCCCCCTTTTTGGTCGGTTTTGCAGGGAAACCAAGAGGAAAACCGAAAGCCTTTTGGGGGGCTCCCCTAAGAACAGACATAAGGGCAACTGCGGAAGGCGCCGAAAGGTGTGGAGGGGTGGTTGGAAGGGAGCGTTAACGAGCTTGGGGTCCCTTCTTTCATGAATCTGGAAGTTCCTTCTACTGATTGGCTCATTTCTTTCAGCCTTGGGGCCCCGAAAACCTGCAAACCCCAGTTTGACCCGCTTTCCTGTTCTTCAATTATGCTTTTATGTTTGGTAGCTTCCCCTCGAGAAATTCATGGAATCCACCAACCCAAAACAGGTTGTTCTGCCTTGGTCGCTGGTTGCAGTGGCCACCCGTCGCCCAGGATCGCCTCATCTTCGCCGGAGACGTGAAGCGGTGCCAGGGCGGGGTCAACGAGCAGAAGCTGCCGCTGGAGGCGGGCACGGCGTGAGAGGCAGAGGCGGTTTGCCAGGCTCACTCCCGGAGGTCGACGTAATGTTCACCCCGGATTAATAAACGCCTGGTTGATCCCCTTTTTAGTGGGGATTCATCACTTTTAGAGGGAATACCCCCAAAAAATGGGACGGGCTTGTTAATCCGGGGTCAACATTATTCGGGAAGGAGGTTTTAGGATGAAGAGTTTTGATGGATGTTTGGGCCAGTTCTCAAGGGTGTGAGGAGATAAGGGGGACATGAGGTCAGGGGTTTTCGAAGCTTCCTTTGGCTGATTCGGAGTTCCCTCGGGTGGATGAGATGGTTGATGGGCCGGACGGGGTATTTGGGAGTTGCCTCTAAGGGTCCTTTGAGGTTTCGCCTGGAGCTTAGCGTTTAGAAGCCCAGGATGAATCAACTTGGTTAATTTTGATGGAAAGTCAAATCCCTCAAATAAGAGTCGTCCGAAAGGTCCTTGTATTAATCTTTGAAGGGGAAGACCTTTTGGTCTTCCCGTTGACCTCCGCGAAAGTTCCGCGAAGGGGGTTGCGAAAGTGATTTGTTTTTGTTCGCGAAAGTTTGTGTAAGGGGTAGCTTGCTAACGTGAAGCGGGAATGATGAACCATGTGAATTTGCCGGCAATGCGCGCAGAATGCCCGCAGACTAAAGTTGGTCGGGGAATGCGCGGGCTGAGGGTTGCCGCGAGAATACGCCGCTGCAAAAGCAACCCCCAGCTAGCAGAAACCAGCTTGCGGGATATTTCAAGCTTTCGGGCCAAGAAGTGCAACTTTCCAGCCGGATTTTCGCGAATGTTTGGCGTAAGATGAGCTGGAGCTGCGGAAGCACGCTTCGCGTGCTGCTTTGGAACTGGAAGGTTGCGACTTTCGAGCTGGGGCTGTCGAAGATTACTTCGTGTACTACTTTTGTATTGTGAAAAGTTTTGACTTTTGAGGTGAGGGTGTGGAAGTTTTGTTCTTGTACTACTTTTGCATTGAAAAGTTGCGACTTTCAATCTGGGCTGCGTAAGTTTACGTTTCGCACTACTTTCGTATAGAGCTGCGACTTTCGAGCTGGGCCTGCGCAGGTGCACTTCGTGTTTCCATTCTTATGATGAGTGTTCTGAAAACAGTCCCCGCGAAAGTTCTGCGATGGGGTCCGCGAAAGTTATTTTTTTCTCGCGAAGATTGCGGTTTCCGGAACAAGGAGTTCAGATAGCCGTCAAATGCTACACAGGGAAGAACAGGATTGTAATGCCCGCGGCGCATGTAATTGTTACTGTTTTGGGTTTTTTTTGTTGTTTCATGTTGCTCGGGGCGCCAAGCAAAATACGTGTTAAATCCTAGCATGCCAAAGGATTGAACAGAGGCAAACACTCAGTTGAGTTGTTGACAATATTGGCAGGCAATCAGGATTAATACTCCCTGAAAGAATAAGGGGGGTCCATTTTAGAGGTTGAAGCCTTCGCTTTTCAGGCAAGCACCCCAGGGAGCCCAATGATCTGCCAGGTCTATGAATCCGCCAATGCTACTACTTGGGTTGTGTACATTTGCCCCAGCCCAAGCACATCCTGAATGGCCCCTATTGGTCACCAAGATAATTTGGCTGGTGGCTCCCGTTGCTATGGCTCTGAATCAACCTAGGACCATATTTTGAGATATATTTGGCGTGTTTATATTTGGTGTGGGTCTGTGGAATGACCTCCCAATGGCTGTTTTGGGGTTATTTGCCAGCCACGGGGGGGTCCTGGTAACTGTTGTTGGTTTTCTTTTGTAGGGAAGCCACTCATTTTGTTGGCGGCGGGGTTCCTGTCCGCCCTGCCCGTCCGGGTCCGCCCGGCCTGTGAGGTGCACGGCCAGCAGACTGCCCTGGCCCTGTCGGACGCCAGGGACTGCCTGGTGGACGCGCTGCTGCTCAGCAGCTGCGATGCCATGGTGCACGCGGATTCCAACGTCACTCGCCTGGAACGGTCGCGATCTTGCGTTGTTTCCAGTCAAATTCGGGTGTGGATAATTCTTTTCAGGGGAGCCCTTGTCTTGCTTTGAAGGGACGTGGGCACCAAGATGAAAAACTCACAATTCTGGGTTCCCAAAAGGAAAACGATGATAGGTTCCATTCCTGTTTCCAAGCACTCCCGGCGTTGCCAAGGTCGTAACCCGACTCATCCAAACGCCTGATTGCTTCCACTTTTGGGGTCTCCCTACTTGGTTCAACCCATTTGAAGCTGGGAGCTTAGGACTGGATTCTTATTTGCTAAGAAACGACCTTTTAACATCTTTTGATTTCCCTTATTTGGTTTATGCTTCGGCCCGCAAGGCCCCAAAATGTGAACCTTGCATTGGGTCCAAACTGGGCAACTGAGAATTCCCAAAAGATTGGTGAACCACAAGTTGGTGAACAGATGCGTCCAGAAACCTGAGGGGTTCACACTGCTCTTTTTGTGTGGAACCCGCGGCCTTTCGGATTTCGGCAGAGATGCTCAAGCGCCAAACTCGTCAGCACCCCAAGCATCAGCACCCGGTGAAAGGATACCTCAGGGAGTAGGCCAACGGGATTGAGAGATCACTTGTTTCAAGAAAGCTAGCCACAAAAGCCGCCCATTGCTTGCGTTTACGTTGGCTGCTTTTTGCGTTTTGGGGCGGTTCCCACATGCAACTTTGGCTGTGGGAACTCCTCGGATCGTTTTGTACAGGATTCCGACAAATGGGGGACCTGGCCAATTTGGATTTTCATGTTCAAGGGGGAAGCAAATGTAAACGAAGACAAAGCCAGGCACAACATTGGGGCCGGTTTGTTTGCGCGTTTTTGTTGCTTCCATTGGGCGCGACTATCTCAAAAGTCTCGGGCGCTCCGAAATACTTCCCAACTGTTTGTGGCCCTGTGGCAACTCATTTAATCCACGGAATATTGCTTGTCCACACAAAGGATTTCAGGTGCCAAGAGCACACTGAGCCTTTCAAACATCATTAGATCTCCTCATGCTCATTCTTAGGCCTTAAATCCCTGAACGGGTTCATGCTCAGCCAGACTTGAAGCCGGCCTGGCCTTGATGTCACTTGATGAAGCCTGCCGGCCTGCTTTCACAGGACACGTGGATTGTGTGTGTGTGTGAAATGGATTGGCCCCATGCTTTTTTTGCTTTGTAGCAGTTGTTTGGCATCCTCATTTGGGCTTCTTTTTGCACATTTTGGACAGCCCTGCCGTCCGCTCAGGTGACTATCGCGGCGGGGATCATGAAGCTTCGGCTTTTATTGATTTTTGCAGCCAGCACCCCCCCCCTATCCCCCCTTCCAAAATACTGTTTGGACACGACTTGGACTACTTGAAATGGGAAAAGACAGTCCTTTAGGTCTGCTAAAGTTCTTCGATATTCAATCCGCATATTTCGCAAGGCAGAATGGGCTCGCCATGAAGGTCTTTGCTTGGGAATCTCTTCAGGTTTTGGAATGCTTCCAAAATTGGTAGGTTTCAATTTCAAGACTTGGATGCGTAATCATCATCCCCTGGATTGGGCAATTAATTCGTGCGCCCCGTCTCTTCGGTCCTCGTCCTTTTCCTTTTGGCCCCCTCCGAGCAAATTGAACTGGAAACCGGAACCTTGAGAGCCTCTTTTGTCCTTCTTTTCTTGCCCCTTCTGGGCAATGGGACTTTGAATGGCAGCATTTGGGCATTGATCAATCGCGGGGGTTTTAAGTTAATGAGGGAGGGCTGGGTCGGGTCTCCTTTGCCAGCTTGAAAAAGCTTGTCGTTTTAAACAAGCATGAGTAAGAAATTGGCATTTTGTGGTAAGCACATGTTTGGCTTGGCATTGGTGGGTTCAAGCCTGAGCGAATACGAAGCAAACAAAACAAAAGCCCCTTTTCTGGCTGGTTGTTGGGCTTGGAGGCTGCAAGGGGTTGCCTGTAATAGGGGGGGGTGTCGGGGGAGGCCTGAAAATGGTTGAGGTAGGGTTGTTTTGGGCGCGCCTTGTTGGCCCTTTGCTTTAGTATTGGTGGGAATCTGGCAGGGAAGAGGGGAAACCTTTGATCAAGGGGAGTTACTAATTGTGCACTCACAGTATTGGGTTGCTGATGTGTGCCCTAGGGAATGTAGGGTACAAGTTGTTGGTGCCCCGTTTTCGGACTATGGCGTTTTGGTGTTAATTATGAAGAGCAAATGTTGTTGGCGATGTGTGTTGTACCACTGGTTGTGCGATTGCGCTGGTCTCCTGTTCCTGGCGTTGTGTTATTTCAGGAGGGTTCCATAGGCCGCATCAGGAATCCCTACATGCCCGCCTTCCACGTGCGCGACCTGGCGCCATCAGCGCCGGAGGCAGGCGAGTGGCAGGGCTACAAGCCCTGCCGCCTGCCCTTCTGACGAGTTCCGCGGCAGGCGTGGAGAGGGGGGTTCCCCTGAAGTCTCTAGATGGGTGTGTGGGTCTTTTTCGTGCACCCCAACGGTTTTCCTTTTGGTGTCCCTTTTTATGCCGCGCCAAAAAAACAATCCCACAATAAAAAAAGACACACAATGGTTTGAAACCACTTTAGGTGGTTTCCCTTTCAGCCATCATTTTGATTCTTTTCCGGAAGTCACTTTGATGGACCCAAGAAATTTCGAAGCACAACCGGGGGGCTTGCTGATTAGGGTGAGGCACAATATTGGTTGGACACATGCTTATGGGAACCAGCCGCTGTATCGCAGATTCGGGGCTATTGTCCACAACCACGCCCGGAGCCTTTGTAAAACAAAGCGAGGGGCCCAAGATGGACTGCCTGAATGAAGTTTGAACAAACAGCGAGCGTTTGCAGGCGAACAAGCCTATGCAGTGGTTTCCCGCAATGGTCCTCATTTTCAGGAAGCACCCACCTAGTGGGAATGCCTGGCGCTGCCATTTGCTTATTAGGTTGTTGGTTTCATCAGATTTCAGAGGGTTGTGCTCATTGCTGGCATGCATATTATGCTGGAGCAAGGGTTTGATTAACTCGCTGAACTGCCCCTTTCAAGCACGCCAGGGTGAACGTAGTTCATCCCCTTCATTGTGGTAGAAAGGGGGGGTGCCTAAACCAACATGGGGGAATGGTGCCATCTGGGACCGTTCCTCTCTTGGAGGTTGGTAAGGGAACCCAAAGCGGAACCGCGCTTCCGCCCGTCTTCTTGCACCCAGGCGCAGCCAACGCGAGGTCGACCGGCGAGGTCTTCCGGGAGATGGATCAACATATGCCTTTGAGAAGGTGGCCAAAGGGGCCATCAGATGCGGGAACCGTGCAACGGAAAAAAGGTGTGAGAGGGGGCCTGGTGAGGGGGAATAGAGCACCTTGAATGGGTTGGACTGTCAACGGTCGGTGACACCCCCACAAACTACACACATGCGTTGTTTCTGGAGGTATGTTCGGCTGGACTTCCCCCACTCGGTCCAGGGACCCTTTCTTTGGCGAAATGCGCACGGCGCAAGCCCTGGAATCTTTTTGCAAAAGAACGAGCACCGATACTTATTAATTAAAGGAGTACCCTGGAAGGAAGAAAGTCACGAAAAAGCCCTAGTCGAATTATTTCGACGGGTAGTCAATCAGGGCTTTATGTTCCGTTTGTTCAAGGTGACCTCTGATTTTGCCTTGTTATGCCTTGTTTGTTTTTGAAGATATGCTGATCAATGGTTGTATTCTAGTGGCACCAAAAGACGCGGCACCCAGAATGTTCTTTTAACTGAACATTCTGAGGGGGTCTTAAGGTTGTGTCCCTGCCACCACCATTGAGGGAGGTATTTTGAAGGAGTGACCCAGAAGTACCAGAGTGTTTGCGAGGAACCGCGAGACCATCATGAAGGTGAAGCTCGCATCTGTGCCTCGACCGCAAGTCCTTTGCCGCATTCCTGCAATTGTTCGGCCCACTGCTTTGGAACTTGCCCTCGCCCACCTTGCGAAGGCGGCAAAAGCAGTGATTTATCCAAATAGTGATCATGCACGTGCCCGTTTGAAGTGACACAAGAAAGGGGTTCCCTAGTTTTAGCACATTTGGATGCGCTGTGTCGAGTCCACCTGCGCCAGGCAGTCCACCTGATTGGTTTTAGGCCGGGTGATCCGAGCCCTGCGAGGTGGGCTATGTGCAGATGGACGGCTTGGCCAAAAAGCACCGGATCTCAGCGTAGTGGACATTAGAGGGGAGTTATCTTCAACCCATTTTTGGTTAGGGGTCCAAAGTATAGCCTTTTTTGAGCCTGGATATTTTTGTTTCACGAGCTTACTGGGAGCGGCGTGGGTGTATGGGTGAGACTTGCCCGTGGACTTGTTCAATTGGAGGACCAATTGGCGGCCGATCCAGCGTGAGGGGTGTCGACGATTGGTGCAGTAGCTGCGGCCTGTTTAAGCGGGTTCCATTCGCACAAAAAGAGGATCCGTTGATTTGGCTTTCCCGTTATTTCCCGAATGGTTGGAGCCAGGAAGTCTCGCAAATTAAACTAGGGAAACTAGAAAACTTATAATGGTTCGCAAATATGCAAATAAGGAACTGCAAAGGATCTTGAGCATTGGTCCCTTCACAAGACTTTGCGCTAAGACAGCGTAAATCGAGCGATTGCACCATTGGTGGAACTCCCCCCACACAAAGGGTTCTGCTAAAAGCAGAAACACCTGGAACATGTCGGCCCAGGTTCAACATCCTCTACGCCCTCTGCGAACAGCAGCTCAGTCCGCCCCAGTTGTTTCCTTGGCTTGCGTCAGGTGGTGTGAATTGTAGCAATTCTCCATGGGAAGATGTTCTGAGTGGCTGCTGCAGATAAGAAGACGCAGTTTGCTCATGTTTGCTCCCTTTTGCTTGTTTCCCACTTTGCTCGCCATGAAATGGACGTGCCCCAACAGACATCTCCAAAAACGTGTTCCGTTTTTGGCCTGTTGCTTTTTCTCAGGGAAAGCCAGGGGTAAACATGCAAGACGTGTTCCTCCCCCACATTTGGGAAGCACCTTGACGGGACTTCACGGCCATGCCAGGCAAGCAGCGGCACTACGACTTCGGCTTGCGGAACATCCTGAGCGTCCTGCGGCAGACCACACCTTAGCCCAAACCGAGGTGCCCTTTGATCACAATAGGTTCAACTTTCAACTCTTTGGATAAATCTCTAGATGTAGGATCACAGGGGGAAAACCAGACTTCCCCAAGACTCCCTCACCCCAAGGGCCGCATTGGCCTCAATGCATGGGGCATAGTGAAAGCTTGTGGGCTCTCTGCTGCCCTGAGGTCTGGCTCCATCAAACGAGATGAGCCCGTCGACACGGACGAGGAGATGCTGTTCATGCGGACGGCGCGGGGCCAATGGGTAGCACAGAACCTGGGCCTCCCATTCAAGATTGAAACCCAAAACGGGGACGGTTTCTGCACAAATGCAGCGTTGCGAACCCTCGCCAATAGAAGCAGGCAAAAGCCCTGCGTTCGGATTCGCGCATACTGTCAGGTGAGATTTCCCTGTGCATAAAAATGTGATGCCGGTTGTCAGGGGTCTCAACATGAAGCCCCTCATCTTCGTTGGTTTCCTTTCAGGTGACGTTTGGAGAAGTGTCGGAAACCCCTGTTCAACCTGTTTTCTTTGGAAACAACAACGCGTGAGATTGCTCACAGAAACGGTAATCATAGAACATCCTCAACAATGGTGGCGGTTTCCCTGTGGTTTCCTTCAAACGTATCCATTGTCAAAGACAGTTCCTTTACTTGGGGTCGTGGATGGTCATCACCCCTTTCAGATTTTCTGGACCATCGACTGCAAAATGGGTCCGTCTATGTCCGTCTTTTGGTTGAGGCTGGGTACCCCGGTTTTGTGTGGTTTCCTTTAAGGGGATTTTCTTGGGTTCGGAGCAGCCAGGGTTGGCCATCCTTTTGGGCCTCTGGGATTCGACCCAGAAACCCCGGCCAGGTCCGGGACATGAACTTGTCCAAGCTGGTGGCGGATGATGCCTTGGGCCCAAGAAAAAATACGCCAGCGGCACCTCTGGGGGAAAGGTGACACCCGAAGTTCTCACTTTCTGAGCTCCTGGGCGTTTCATCTGCTTCAGGAAGAGCAATCGTTTCAGCGGTAACCACAAAGTGTTGGGATTTTTGTTGGGCCCATCCACTGGGGAAGTGGGAAGCAAAAGGGCATCCTTTCGGGGTTGGTGTTGAAGGGAAGCAGAAGGAAACCGCCCGTTTTGGGGCTGTTCAATGTTCTTGGGGTTCTCTTGGGCTTGGGGAGGGGAACCAAGAGGAACCCCTCCCCCTCCCCGTGATAGGGCCCTCCCCTAGGTTGATGCAAAGGTGACACCCTGAAAACGAGATCCCCTGGTGCAAAGTTGGGTGGTGGATGCAAGGGCCATGTGTGTGTCTGTGTGTGTGTGTGTTTTTTTTTTTTTTTTTTTTTTTTTTCTGGCGGGCGGTCCTAGTCAAACATCTCAAGAGAGTCATGGTTGTTTTGTTGAACCGTGACGGCCGTGAGAAAAGCTTAGATGTGGGGCACAGTCTCAAACGAAAATTCAATACATGTTGGGTAGGCTTCTGCACCAAAAGGATGAATCACTCGGTGTAGTTATCATTGACCCATACAGACAACCCTCGGTTACGTTGTTTTTCTATTCAACGTTCGATGCATTTGCGGGTTACTGTACGTTTGTGAACGCACGTCTTTCCAGACAGGTGAAGGTGGATGGCACAATTCCCGATACATGCGTAATATGTTGCTTATTTTGTAAACGAGGTTGCCAAACCAGGAGTTGGAATTGTGCCATGTAAGCCTTCCACCCATGTTGCATGTTGCCATGAGACCTGAGAAAGAAAGAACATACCGACATACCCCATGTACCTGGAGTTTGTGGCCAAGGGGAGCTGAACATGTCACCCAACTCTACAAGGTTTTGAGTCGAACTTAGCCAGAGTTCCACTTGTTGGACTGCCTCGGAACACTTCAACCCAGGAATCGGTTCTCCTGTTAGAGAACCGATTCCTGGGTCTTGGCGTCCGTCCACTTTGGCCCAGAAATGGAGCCCTGGACTCAGGTGCCTTTGTTCATTGCCCTCCTGGAGGATATCTTCCCCAAGGCTGGATATCCGATGGGCTCATGGGCGAAAAGGCGTCCCTTGAAAGCTCAGTTCGGCGGGTGGACCCTTCAAAGGCGCGAGTTCGGAAACAAGTAGTAGCGGGATTGGTGGTCCCATGGTTTGTCTAGGAAAGGTAGTCGAAGTTTCACCTATTGAGTTGAATCAGGATTTCTGGGTGTCGCACACTGCGTTCGATGGATCGCATGACCGCAGGCAGGCCAAATCATGGGCGACTTCCCTTCAAGGTTGATGTTAGGAGGTTTTGTTCTATCCCCCTCCCTTAGGTCAGGCATTTCTGTTGCGGGCCCTGGCCATGAGGCCCAAGCCTCATGCTATGCATGGCTAATTACTGATTATTCTGCTTTCCGCTTGGCCGGTTGTTATGCGTTCCCTGAATAAACTTAGTCAACCAGGGGCCGCCCTTTCCCTTTTTGGAATTACATTGCTGTATATATATATATATGTGTGTGTGTGTGTGTGTGTGTGTCTGTGCAGGGTGCCTTTTGTTGGCTTCTTTTGAAGGGAACCTAAAGGCCACAACCTTTTTGAGGGACTTCCCCTAATATAAACACACACCCATTTCTCCGCCTAAGGGGTTGCCTTTTTGTTGCTGGTTCAACCGACAGCTCACGGCTCGGCGGGACGTCTCGAGCCAGGTGACGGAATTGCCGCAGAAGACCTACGTCAGCTTGGAACAAGCCGCGGGCGCCTTGTTCCCCGCGTATCGAAGTGGGCTGGACAGTCCCTTGTGCTTCATGGGTATTACCCGTTTTGGATGGTTTCAAAGGGACGCGAAAAGGAAAGTATCTTGTTGTCATTTTATTCAATGAACCAAGGCAGGTTTGCTCCGAGAGTGTAAATCAAAGCACCAGGGTGCCCAGTTCTTGTGGTGAAGCTGGTCACGCCTTGAATGCCTTGTTGCACGGATTTGTTTGCTCACTGGCCTGTTTGCCACGAATGGTGGTTGAATTTTGGCGCCCGTGTACCCGAATGCTTTTTCCAGGGTGCATTGCTGAAGCGGGGTCAGAACTAAACTTTAAGGGGCAAATAAGTCTACGTTTGGGCATGCATGTAGCGTAGGTTGAAACCGCGAAATGCGTGAGTGCGAACTAATGTTGTGCTGCACCAGTGTACTTTGCATACTACACTCGTCGATCGTCGTTTCATTGCAAATTCAGGCGCTACAGACCAAAGGCTGCAAAAACGATAGGGCATTTC